GAAAAATTTTGGGGGAGGGGTGGGGTTTGGGGGGGAGGGGGAGGGGGGTTAGGATCTTAAAAATAAAAATTTGAAGTTGAAAATATTTTTAAAAAGCAAAATTATCTTTCTTGTGGATCATCTTGTGGTTACCGGATGATGGGAATAACAAAGCAGAAATTTGAAAATGAGCATGAAATGTTAATGTATGAATTGTTTCATTATTCGTTATTTCCAGGTCTTTTCGTTGCATTCACTTACAACAAGAAACAACCAGCAGTATTTGGTGCCACACTTGCATTTTGGTGTATTCTTCTTTCTTTCCTTGATCTTTCGTTCCGTCATATTCCTAATAACTTATAGGATGTGGTTAAGAAAAAATAAAACACAAATTAGCAAAAACCCCCGATTAAATGTAAGACAACTTTTTAATTCAAGTGTGCTTGTTTGTCATTCTCTTAAAATTATCGTTGTATTGTTAATTGAGACAATTTAAATAATTATATTATTTGGTAACGATAATATTTTATTATAAACTGTGATTTTTACTATCGTTTTAATTAGAAAAAAAAATATTGACGTCAAAAATATATACAAGTATATAGACAAAAATATACGAAGACGGAGTAGTTATCCGCCTGCGCAATATACACAGACGGATAGCCTATCCGTCGGCAGTACAGGTAATTTGTCTTCAGTAATTTCAAATACAGTTATATAAGTAGTTTTTGAGTCTAATGGATAGCATTTGACTTTTGTCCAATTGATAAGGACCTTTTACACCATTAGGAATCTGCTGAAAGGAGACAAAAACATGATTGTTCTGGTTGGTGTTTGTCATCTTAGCCAAGTGATCCACAACATTATTGGCCTCTCTTAGGCTTGAATTATCATATGTAGAATCTTCTCTATGGTGAGATTGAGCTTGTAATTGGGTTGTCTTTTTCCTTCAATCATCTGGAAGACTATAATTGAGTCGATTTTCAAGAAAAAATGGCTGAAATTTCTTTTGACGCATAAACCCAACCCCTTGAGGGCTGCCAATGACTTTGCCTCAAAGCTGCCATGGCTGCTCTTCCAGATAGTGTGCAAAGGGTCGCGTATGTTTTTCATTTTCAACGCTCCATTTATAGGAATTGCCAGGAAATAGATACACATTTGACGATTGGTTCTAGTTTCAGAAGATTTTTACAAAATGTGATCCAAGGTAATGTCAAGGTTGTGTTTGTTGAAACTTCTCTTGCCACCATATTTACAATTTCAACTTTCATTCCATATTTCCTAACACAAATAATAGGGCAGATTGTAGAACCAAACCATGTACCGTATTTTTAGGCTTCTGATTCCACCATTCATTAATAGGGAAAGTGCACAAGCAATACATCTAATAGAAATTCTTAGGCTATGCAAATTTAGTGATACATCAAGCATCTCTAGCAAACAAGTCGACCCTAAGTTCTGAGAGGCAACAATAACATTAGAGATTAGTTAGTACTTTGTATTGCAAATAAAAGCTCACATAGCCAATTCAACAAACTCACTATCCAAAGGCTCTTACCCATAGCCTTCCTTGATCACCAATTCAATCCAATAATCTCAATATACAAAGAATCCAAAGTAATATAATAAAAATCTCACAACTACAATCCATAGCCAATTCAACAAACTCACTACTCAAAGGCTCTTACCCATTGCCTTCCTCGATCACCAATCCAATCCAATAATCTCAATATACAAAGTAATATAATATGAATTCATCAACTTAGGACAACCCATATATGATTTTCTTTGTCAGCCCACTTGAGCGGCTCTGTTTTTGTTCTGACAACGCTTATAAGGAGGCAGTACATAAATTTCATGCATTGATGATACTTTGAAGTTTGTTTTAATCGCCTAAGTTGTTTGGCACCATGTGGTGGAGACAAGATTTGTCCTTTCCTGATCCGGAGAAAAGGAACTTGCAATATCCGTCCTTCCATGATCCGGAGAATCCAGATCATTTGGAAAAAAATTAGTTTGAGGATGATTCGATCAGCCTATAGCTTCTGATAACACAAACAACCAAATGGTCCAGGCCAGCAACACAAAAAAGTAAGAAGATGTACCTTGGGAGGCAACAACATGCGTCCTTCCATGATCCGGAGAAGAAGCAGTCATAATGCCATGATCCGGAGAATCTGGATCATTTGGAACAAAAACAGTTTGAGGATGATTCAATCAGCCTATATTTTCTTATAACACAAACAACTAAATGGTCCAGGAAAGCAGCACACAGGAAAGTAAGATGATGTACCTTGGGAGGCAATGACAGCAGTCATAATCTCACGATACGGAGAAGCGGAAACAGCACCATGATCCGGAGAACTCAAAGAGGCAACAACAACACGATCCAGAGTATCTGGAGATGCAGCAATAGCATGATTCGGAGAATCCGGAGAAGCAGCAATAACAGTCTCCAAATCCTTCCAGTTGTAAAGATATGCTTTTTCTAACTCCGTAGTAGTAGGAGTAAGAGTAAATTGCACTACATCCTATACGAAAATAAATTGTTCAACAAGCAAAACCACAGTAATAAACTTATAATATGAAAGATTTCACCAAAAAAAACTTAATTATTCACATTGACTCTTTCCATTACTAGTGACACCATCTTATAGGATGGAATAATCGGTTTCTTCATGAACCATCGCTTCAATCTAGGAATTAGCAAGGGAAACTTTGTTGATGATGTCCAAAAGCTTCTTCTAGTTTAGGAATTGCTTCAAAAGCCCATACCTGTATTCAAGCCCAAATAGTATTAAATAACATTTGTATAAATTAGAGATCGATACAAATTAAGGAATGACCAATTAAATTTCACCAGAAAAGCCCAAAGGAACCCTTGAAACACTATTTTTGGCTTTGGATTTTCAGACATCTCTAAGAGATTCTCTGGAAAACTTTGTGCAGAGATACTTTGTTCAAGAAGAAGGGAGGTGGCAATAATGTCTATAATGTGCAGGCTGATAATTCATCCTCTACGAGCTTAGGTTTGAGAGACAACACTGTGGATCAACTAGTTCCCAAATATCTACCATGAGCACTTCAGATGACTGTTTATCAACATGATCAAGTAATGCAGATGCTTGATGGTAATATTTGTACTGCTCATGTAATGGCAAACATGGCAGGTATGACCCATGATATTCCTCTTTCTAAAATTACAGTTTTTAGATGGATAATTGATAGTGGTGCGACTAACCACATGATCTCTAGCTTAGATGTACTTCATGATGTACCCCACCTGTTAAGAATACACAAAATTGGAAAGTACATTTACCGAATGGAGGAAATACTTTGGTAACTCATACTGGGAGTTGTAAGTTTGCAGACACAGGAGAATTACAGGATGTGTTGTTTGTGCCAGAATTCCATTATAATCTCTTATCTATATCAAAAGTTACAAAGGACTTCAATTGTTTTGTTTCATTCTATCCTGGGTTTTGTTTATTCCAGGACCTTTCCACTGGTGAACTGAAGGGGATTGGTAAAGAAGATGATGGGTTGTACTGTCTGGTTCATTCGCAGAAACCTTCTGTTCATGACAAGGTTACGAGTTTTGCTGCACATGATGACAAAAAAGGAGATTTTGCTGTGGCATAAAAGACTTGCCCATGCTTCAATAGGATCTATGAAAGACTTGTTAGGCTATAATGTTGATGCTTGTAAAATGCTTTGAACAATTGTGAAATATGTCCTCTAGCTAGACACACTAGACTACCTTTCACTAGTAGTAACACTAGGTCTTCTGAAGTGTTTGTTTTATTGCATTTGGATGTATGGGGTCCTTATAATATTCCAACATTTGATGGAAATAAATATTTTCTTACCATTGTTGATGATTTTTCCAGAATTGTATGGATTTTCTTATTAAAGTTCAAGTGTGATGTATTGGTGACAACAGTTCTTCACAACTGTTGCTACTCAGTTTAAGACCAATGTTAAAGGTGTTAGAACAGATAATGGTGGTGAATTTGTGAATGGTTCTCTACAGGATTTGTGTAAAGAATTTGGTATAATTCATTATATAACATGTGCACACACCCTCAACAAAATGGGGTGGCTGAAAGGAACCATCGACATCTCCTTGAAGTTGCTAGGTTTTAAGGTTTCAGGGCCATATTCCTATCAAGTTCTGGGGACATTATGTTCTTACAACAGCATATATTATTAATAGACTTCCTTCTCAGACTCTAGATGGGAGGTCTCCTTATGGGGTCTTTTTTGGTAAGAAACCATGTTTTAATCATCTCAGAATACTTCGTTGCTTATGTTTTGCTAGTACATTGCCTAGGACTGATGAGTTTGTCCCTAGAGCAGTTAGGTCAGTGTTTACGGGTTATTCTTTTATCACTAAGGGATACATTTGTTTTGATCTTGCACAACAAAAGTTTTTTGTGAATAGAGATGTGATTTTTCATGAGGATCATTATCCTTTTCTGTATTTATCTTCAGCTGTTACTGCTCCTATTTCACATATCTCTTCTTCTTTCCCAGAGTCATTTACACACAATGATTTTCTTTCTACCTCTTCTGATAATATTCCTGATTTCTTACCTTCATCTCCTCCCATCTTAGATCTTCCAGTTGATCCTATGCCATCTTACTGTCACTCTTGTTTCTCCTACCTCATTGCTTCCTCAACTTAGGAGGTCTACTAGGATTTCTAAGCTACCTCTTTGGTTATCTGAATATGTTTCTAAACCTTCTGCTTGTACAGTTTTGTATCCTCTTACGACTTCTATATCCTACACCAATTTGTCCTCTTCTTACCAAAAATATTTGCAAGTTTTTTCAACTGTAGTTGAACCATCTTCCTACAAGGAAGCTATGTCAGATCCTATATGGTTGGAAGCCATGCAGGCTGAACTGCAGGCTCTGCAAGATAACCACACTTGGGATTTGGTTCCACTTCCCAAAGGCAAGATTCCTATTGGTTGTCGATGGGTCTACAAGGTGAAATTGAAAGCATATGGTGATGTTGAGAGGTTTAAGGCTCGGTTGATTGCTAAGGGTTACACTCAAAGAGAAGGTCTGGTTTTTCATGAAACATTCTCTCCAGTGGTCAAGATAGCCACTGTCAGGACTGATTTTTCCTTGGCTGCTCAGTGTGACTGGTCTGTGCATCAGCTGGATGTTTACAATGGCTTCTTACAAGGTGATCTTCATGATGAAGTGTATATGCAGTTGCCTGAGGGTTTTCCTAGAGGTTTAAGGCTCGGTTGGTTGCTAAGGGCTACACTCAAAGAGAAGGTCTGGATTTTCATGAAACATTCTCTCCAGTGGTCAAGATAGCCACTGTCAGGACTGTTTTTTCCTTAGCTGCTCAGTGTACTGGTCTGTGCATCAGCTGGATGTTTACAATGCCTTCTTACAAGGTGATCTTCATGATGAAGTGTATATGCAGTTCCCTGAGGGTTTTCCTAGTCTAGACTTGTATGTAGACTTGTCAAATCCCTCTATGGACTCAAACAAGCAAGCAGACAATGGAATTTAAAGTTAAATGAAGCACCACTGGGGTCTGGTTTTATTCAATGCAGCTTAGACCATTCATTATATATTAAGAGAATAGGTTCATATATGGTGGTAATTCTTGTCTATGTTGATGATATGATAGTTACTGGAAATAATCTGACTCTTATAGAACATACAAAAGCAACCTTACAGAATGCTTTCAAGATCAAAGATCTTGGAGAATTGAAATTTTTCCTTGGTATGGAATTTAGCAGATCAGCCAAAGGTATTTTGATGAATCAGAGGAAGCATGCTTTAGAAATTATTTTAGATTTGCGTTTAGGAGGTGTCAAGCCAACTTGGACTCCAGATGAAGTTAATATGAAGCTGACAACTCCAGAATTGGATTGCATTACTGGAGAATCAGAAGATGAACCTTTTGCAGATAGAGAGCAATATCAAAGGTTGATAGGGAAGATGTTGTACTTGACCATGACTAGACCAGACATTGCTTATTCAGTTCAAACATTAAGTTGCATTACTGGAGAATCAGATGATGAACCTTTTGCAGATAGAGAGCAATATCAAAGGTTATAGGGAAGATTGTACTTGACCATGACCAGACCAAACATTGCTTATTCAGTTCAAACATTAAGTCAATTTTTGCAGCAACCAATACAGTCACACTGGGAGGCAGCAGTGAGAGTGATGAGATACATTAAAAGAGAGCCGGTACTTGGCATATTACTGGGCAGTAACAAGTCTAATAAACTGAGTGTATATTGTGATGCAGATTGGCAGCATGCCCAAATACAAGAAGGTCGGTGTGAGGATATCTAGTTAAACATAGTGAAACATTGTCGTCATGGAAGTCAAAGAAACAGAATGTGGTTTCCAGGAGTTCAGCAGAATCAGAGTATAGGAGCATGGCAACTGCAGTTTCAGAGTTTGAAGGAATTGGGAAGTGAAGTTGAGCAGCCTGCTGTTGTATACAATGATAGCAAAGCAGCCCTGCAAATAGCAGCCAATCCTGTGTTTCATGAGAGAACGAAACACATAGAGATTGACTGTCATTTTATCAGACAAAAAATACAAGCAGGAATGACGAGGACAGAATATGTGAGTTCAAAAGAACAACTTGCAGACATACTAAGGGGCTGCCTAGATCACAACATGAAGTTTTAGTGAGCAAGCTTGGTGTGTTGAATGTGTTTGCACCCACCAGCTTGAGGGGAGTAATGAGATAGGTGTCACTTGATCGTATATGTAAAGTTAGTTAAAGGGTAGTTACGGAATTAGACAAGTTGTTAGTCGGTTAACAGTGTATATAAATCACTGTTTCATTGTAATTAGTTGGTTAACAGAACATTCTTCTTCTTTCTGAATATATCATCTCTCTTCTTTTCTCTCTAATACATCTGTGAGAATCCATTAATGGTGTGATTAATTTGAGCAATTGCATGTATTCTAACACTTATGGCCTGTTACACGTGTATTTAAGGCAAAAGTATGCTGTACAACTTGAGTCAGTTTTGTGTAGTGTTTAACTATAGATGTATGAAGACTTCTTATTTTGTTTGTGTGGCCCTTGCTGCATTATCCTATTTTGGCTGATGACACTAATCGGCGATTAAGACCAATTGCCTAATGATACTATATGTTGCTAGGCCTGATGTTTGGTTAGCTTCAAATTGACACCCTGCATTAGTGTCAGATGTTACTGGACCTTGCTGAGGCATTTGTTATTTGTGATTGTACATGGGCTTGAATGGATGTAGTGTTTAGTGTTCATTCTCATACTGCAGATGAGGCTGCTGTGGTATTACATCAAGCTGGAGTTATATCAATCCTCAATTCCACTCGTGAGTCTGATGAGGATGCTGAAGTTGGGAAATACAAGTCAAATTTGCTGATTAGATTTCAAAATTTATCATATGATGTAAGGTCTGAGATTACTATTATCAGGTCTGAGATTCTTGTAACTTTCTTAGAAATTTTCTATAACGTCTTTATTTAGATGTTCTATTAAATTGCTGACCTTTTAAAATTTTTCTTTTGAAGAAAGTTGAGAGAATTCTTACATGTTTGATACATGTAATTTATGTTACATGTCCACTAGAAAGCCATGGCTATGCTAAGTGAAAGGTCTCTTGTTTCATGGGATCTTAAGCATTGCTAGCGAGTGAGTTAAGCTATATTGTTGTAAATTCTTCAAGGGCATCAGAATGGAAAAATATTCTGGATGCCCCATGCAAAGTTGCTATTGACACAAAATCCTGTTGCTTTTCCTATGAATTTTGAAGTTAAGGTCATTTTTGGATTTTTATACTTCCTAAACGGATTGGTGAATTTTGAGTTGTATTTAAGTTCTAATCCAGCCCTTGACCTGAATTCAGGGTAACCATCTGTCACAATCATTCTGTTTTAGAAGCTGCAGTTGGCAAGACAACAGTTCTCCTTTCTCTTTAATGCCATTGTGCACTTGATAGTTTTAGCAAAATATGTGTTATCTTGAACTAAGCTAGATTTAAATGGGTAGAATTGTATTTGACTAGACATGAAACAAATGGGGGCCATTAGATTTGCTTTTAGACATCTGGACAAGTATCAGCAGGACCTATGTGTTTTGGATTCTTCGTTCGACCCATGGTCCAGCAATGCAAATGAGTATTGTCTATAACCATTATTATCTGGTGCTTGATCAATTTGTTCCTTGAGAATATATGGCAAGATGTCGTAGGAAGTGGGGAACATACATATTCCTAATGTCTTGTGACTCATATTCATTTCAAGTTGCTGGATCTTATAATGACCCAAATATTCCTACCAGAGGTGATCAATGTTGTATGAAACAAAAAAACCTTAAAAGTGCAAGAAAAACCACACACATTTGTCCACAGGAGGAAGCAAAATGGTCCTTACACTACAGCCTGTGCTATCCAAGATTGGGTAGGAGAGACTCCCATGGTTCCTGTGAAGCCTTACAATAAGATAAGTATTCTGTTACAAGAGTACAAAATATCAAAGCTGTACAGAGTTGTGTGACTTGTAGGAGATTTTATTACAGTATAAGAGATTTTGCTGGGAGAATGTATTAAGCAATAGGTACACCTGTGCGAGAGCGCATTATATACTATTCTAAATAAAATAAAAGGAGTAAAAACTGCATTGAACTAAATATTGAATGTTGAGGAAAGGTTGTTAATAAGTTCAAAGACAGTGTTTTGTCATTTGGTTGAAAGGACCCTACCATTCCCGTACACTCTTTCTTTATGACTTAAAACTTTTGCAATTTAAATACATGATTTTGCTTTGTTTTTTTTGTCACATTTGCATGTGAATGTACTTTTCCGAAGTGATACTCTCTAACTCACGTGACTCACAATTTGTATGCTCAGGGGTTAACTTTTGCCTTCTCTAA